AGCTTTTTTCTAAGTTATGATGCTTTAGGGAGAAAAAAAGGGAATGACGTGAGGAGGGGATGGTCCACTAAAAATTATTATTGTTGTCCAACAGGTAGGCTGGTTGCTCACTTATACTTTTACTCACTTGTACATTACATATGTAATTCTGGCTAGATTTTAGTTTACTCTTTTTCAAGGTGTGCAAATGAATGTCCAAGTCAAAGCCTTTAAGTTGGTTGGTTTCTTGGTTGGTCATTGTGAGCGAGTGAACTAAAACTATCTTCCGAGAAGAAGAAGAAGGATCTCAGAGTCGTCTCAAGAACCTTATTCCGTGGTCCGAGTATATTTGCTGCGTCGTCCTTGGCTGAACTATTTTGGACCTCCTGCTGATTCCCATATCAATTTTTACTCGAATTTTATGTCCGAATTTTTTAAACCTTTCAAAGTCTTATTTATAGGTATGAAATGGTTTCTTCTTGTTCTTGTTCAGAGACAAAAAAAGGCTATAAATATGAGTGTATGCTGATGGGATGGATACAAATCACTTGGGGATGGAACTTGCCAAGATATTTCCATCTCCTTTTCTCCTACCAGCTCCCTTCAAGAACTCGTCTTCTTCTTCTCCTTCCCCTCCCAGGTAACCCTTGGATCATCATCAACAACAGCAGCAATAAGAGAACTGCATTCGTATATATATTCCATTTTTTCCAACCTTTGTCTTCCTAAACGGACCCATCCCCGTATTCATCCACGTACGTACATAAATATGTGTAGGTAGAAGGTGAGACTTGAAAAGTATGTCGGGTGCACCAAAACGGAATCCATGCCGTCTCTGACGAAATATGAAGCAATCAAATTCTGTTGAAAACTGGTTAAAAATGCTGCGATACCCGTGGGATTTCAAAGAAACCTGGTCGGTGAGTGGTGTTCATCTCGGCTTGACTTCCCAAGTGTCGGCCTATAGCTTCATGTTCAATATTTGTTCAGTGACACATAACTTGCGCTCTGCCAATCGTAACAATAAAAAGGCTGCACATTTCCGTACAAAAAGTTGGCTTCCCCACCACCGCAAGACTGGCACGGAGAAGATATGCATGTATGTGGCGAAGGGTGATTGAAAATTGATGACTATCTCGCATCCGCCCGCAATTCTTGTATGTTTCGGATGTACCAATGCAGCAGCTTAAATGTACAATTTTATAAATCATTTAAACTCCATGGTTAATTGTGCATTCGTCTCTCCGTATGAATGCATACATGGAAAAAGAATTGAATAAGGACAAAGTTTGAGGTTGCATGTCGTATTTCTCTAGTGCTTCACTATGCAGTAAAAGTACGGGTAAAAGTGAGGACAAAAAACATGAAGCCTTCCTCATACATGCCAAGTTTTAAGACGACTTTCACCCATGCATGACCATAATATGGGATGGGACGACAGTAGTTGACACACGTGAGAGTGGAGTGTGTCCGACAAGCCCATCCATTGAATTTTGCATCGTATTTAACCACCTCATGAAATTGATTGCGGAAAAAAGAAGAACGGGTCAACTTTTCTAAATATTTCATACGTAGACGTGTCGTGCCTCATTGTTTCAAGGCGGACGAGGTGTCTCCTCTGCAAGCAAGGGAAAAGGAAGCACTTGAAGGGAATGAGTAGTTGGCTGGCTGGTCGAGTAGATAATCTGATCTGAATGCATATGCATGCACAATGTATGTAAGTGGCAGGATGAGCAAATATGAGTGGCACCGGCTCTGGCTTAACCCTTGAGTCGGAAGGTGGCTTGAAGGGCCGGAGGAGGAGGGGAATAATTCAAAAGTTTCCCAAAGCACGTTCAGTGACAGTGTCAGCAGCTCTGTTTACACAAAACTTGAGGTCTTCCCGTACGTATATATGGATTGAGATGGGATGTGTCGTCCTCGTCTCGTATAACAGACGACGACAACCATGCTGCTCAAATTATGTTCAAATGATTCCCCAATTCTTTTTGTCAGAGAAAAGGAAAGTTTGCTTTCCCAACTTGCTCCGAGTCGTGTGGCAGCCAACGCCGTTATAAATTTTTCATGAGAATTGTCCAAGCATTTTTAAATCCACTTGTATTTTCCGGTGTATGAAATGAACGAGGACATGGCTTACATGAGGAAAATATATACGAACCAACTTTCCTCTTGCTTGGTCGGGTACATGTCCAATTCCTTCTCGTCGTTTGGCAAGGGAGAAATTCAACCACCGAAAGAGAGAGAGAGAGTTTTGCTGCTCTCCCTCCTTCGTATTTTCACCGGGCAGCGTTCTACATGTTCCCTGCGTGGATGTTTTTGACATTTGTGAAGGCGTCGCCACTTGATCAACTTCACTTCGCTCTAGGGGGCCGCAATTCAAATCTTGCCAGAAATTTCACCCAAATTCTTCCTTTTTTCAATCCATTATTAAATAATTGCTGTCATTCTGCTGTCGTGTGTGCCAGCCAGGTCAGAGCATGGTGATTGTAGTTTTTTTTAGCGAGGCAAGGCACGCGTTATATGTGTGGACAATATTACATATATGTAGGAATGAAATCATTTCCTACATACTTACGACTCCACCCATGTGGTGCACCCCTTTTTTATCGAGTGTCTCAACTTCTTTTGTTTTAATTGAAGTTAAAGTGGATTGCAATAAAAGTGGGCTTGAGACCATAAAACAGCGAGAATTTAAGTTGTACTTAGACTCTGCCCCCCTATGAGATAATGAATGGCTGAAAGTTGTTCTTTTTCATTTCAATTCTCATCTCAAAATGTCAAGTCAACAGGATTGAAAAAATTCGAGATCTGGAATGTATGTACCCGTTCTTCTCTGCTCTGCAACATATGTACGATACTTTTATGCAGCGAGTTATGTAGTTACTTACCCACCAAGAATCTAGCTCATTTTATGTCCAACATAATTACTAACTTCAGGCAGGTTATTTCACATAACTGCCAACCAGCTTGTCACTCTTCGTCTCTCCATAACATACCTGCCAGGTAAAGGCTCTCAGACTCCTTGGCAAAAATGGATGTATTTAGCATACGCTTACTTCTGTATGTACATAAGTAGTTCTACCGTTAAGGTGGAGCTGAACTTGAAGTGGAGTGAATGTTCTTGACATTTCGCGATATTTTGAAATTAAATTTTTACCCAGACGAGATTTTACACCTTTTCATGACTTTTGCTTGTTCAGATCAAATCGAAATTAAGCAGTGGCAAGATAAATAACAATTATCAGAGTTTCGATTAATTTACTGATTGCCATTTTATTTTTGATGATTAAAAAATCACTCGAAATGAGTGCGATTATAAGGCCAGATTTATATTTCTGGAAAGAATGAGACATTTTTTAATAGCTATTTTAAGCCAACTGTTTAATAACGTCGTTATTAAGCGAAAGTGTTCATGCCAAATTTTTAGGGAAATTTTTAGTTTAGACAGGATTTATAGAATCTCTACACGATTAAGTCGATGATTGTTTGTTTGTTTAGCCTCAGAGCACAATACTCCTTAAAAATATTTACGCTTCCTCTAAAAGAAAGAGAGGTCATCTTGGATTACTTGCTCAGAGATTCAACTAGTAAATAGTGTTGCGGATTGGGAGAGAGAATGCAAATGTTTTATGACTCGGACTGCTCGACGTGGACGTGGAGAACTGTGTCGTCGAGAGAATCCAGATCGTGGCCGGAATGGTACAAAGGGCTGGTGTGAGAGACCTCCTGTCGTGTTGGACAACTGTCCCAAAACCAAAAATCTCACTGGGGAGCCTCGACCCCAACCGAAGTCTGACCCTTCACTTCTCAGAAAAATCCATCGCACAATAACTTGGGAATTATACGTACGTACATACGATGTACGCATTAAATACATGTTTATTTACTACTATGAACCACCATAAGCAAAACATCATCTCCTTTGTACACTTATGTGTACGCAGCAATCGTTCGTAACATCAGAGAGGAAGACCAAGGACCGACCGACCGACGAACCAACTTCAAACATCCACTTCATCTCATTTCCATTTGTTTCGTAAGGTTCCATGGTGTCGAGGTTAATGAGTGACACATGCAATTCGATTAAAACCCTTTTGCAATCCTGCTCCATCCAACCACCGTCCAAAACCGAGCCACACACCACATCAAAACGCATCAGAAAGTGATTGCGAAATCTCCAAGGCTATTTGGACCCCAGTGGTAATTACTTATGATATAATGACACAATGCAGGTGGACTTGTCAATCGAACATGTAAAATCCAAACCTACGCCGCTCCGTTAGATGATAAATATGCCGATGCATAATAATTTTCTCCCCAATAACATACACCGAACGACCATGGAACATTGAAATCGTGCGGTTTGATTCCTGCTGCTGCGGCCTGGTTTCAAAGAGAGCCGAGGAGTCTAAATGCACACATTTTGGAGTTGTGGGGTTGTTTTAGGAGGAGGAGGAGAGAGAAGGAAAAGACGGTGATCAAAGGCTTACCGGAGGAAATCCTTGTGAATTTTCCCTAGAAGCGAAAGTTTGAGTCAACCAAAGGAGCAAGAAATTTTGTTAAAGTTTGGCTAAAGTGGTGAACTTGGTGGGTTGGTGGACCGGCCGGAGGAATATTAGAGCTTTAGTAGTTTGGTTGGTGGTATATATGGTCTGCTGGTCCGGCAAACGGTTGAGAGATTGGTTCGGCATTAAAAGATGTCGAATATTTTGTAGCGCAAAGTCCCTTGCTCGCAATCTGTTGATCCCATGAGATGAGTTGCATTTTATTGGATCAAAGACTCCACCGGGGAGGAATGAAGCCAAGAGATCCTCAATTTTTTATCTCCACTTTTATTCCCCTGTGCAACATTTATTTATTATAAATAACCACATTCGCCTCTCCTTTACGGCCTGGCTGCGCTGCCCTCTAAAATTAAATGATGTTCAATTTACTAGACACGTATGTGCAATAAGTGTGTTGTTGCCACCATGTTATACTTTTCATTAGTTGCACCCAATGACTTTTATTTCATCCTTTCTTTTTGCAGGGCCATATTTTCCTTCTGATCCATTCCCAATTTATGGTGCTTATTATTGGGCTAAAAATTGGGCAGGTCATATACGAATACAACAAAGACAGATTATTACGATGTGTAAACTATGTCGCAGCTGGGTCCAGTTTTTAGTTGAGCGGAAGTTAGAGCAGTTAGCCTTGTATAATGTTTGTTGCCAGGATAATTGAGCTGCTAATTAATGACACATTGTAAACAAGAAACGCGTGCCAGAAAGTGCACATTGTTTTGGAAGGAAGGCCCAAACTGAATCCAATTATATGGACAGACAGACGACGACGACGACTTCATTTATGTCACATCCGCTCCTTGGTCCAAAATCTACCACCACGACGGAAACTCTTCAAGTCATGTTAGTGGTACGAGATAGTCGTCTCCACTGCACTGCACATCCAATTTGTGACTTATTGCCATTGTCACATCCACCCACGCTTAAGTTGCTTGCACTGCACCAACCAACTTTTTGTTAATGAAGCTTCATCCATCCGTAACCTAAATGACCCAGTACTTAAGAAACCAATGATATGTAAGAGATATGTATGCTACGAAAAGGAAACGAAAAGTAGGTTTGATACTCACTCCGAATAAATCAGACATGGCTGGAAGAAAGCCTATTTGCTGTTAAGAATCAATTATCTTGGGTGAAGTGGAGCCATTTGTTATTTGTTTACGTTGTGTGTCAATCATCTCCTCCATAAATCAAAGAGGGCTGACAGACGATTTTTCGAAACTTTGACTCATCATCATCAGCAGCAGCATCATCATCGTTTGGTTTATTTTTTCCTGATCAGCAGCACCTCATTCACAACCAGATTCAACACGACGCCTGCTTTTCGACGCTTCCTCCTCATGCAAATATAGCAACAAACACAAACACAGGTTTGAATTGATCTCAAAGGTCCCCTTGTGGGTGACCTATGTCCATCAACACAAACTTCGAGTGGCATATGACCCGACCCGACAACAATACGATTTGTTATTCTTGTTCCTTACCTCGGCGTCTTCTCGGGGTCAGCTCAAGTTAAAAAAATCTCCCACATTTCCAGCATAAATTACACAATTAAAAATATTCCATCCGGTCATCCTTCCAACTGGTGCATGGATTTTTACACGTTCATGAGACCAACAACAAACAAAACACCATGAGATGAATTCTGCCTGTAACTTGCTCATATTTAAATCTGAGCAACAGCAATGTACACACATACGTACCTGTAAAAAAATGATGCCCTATGAAATACTTGCATAACTCGATCCACCCATAAAATACCCACGACATAGGGGAGAGAACTTTTCAAATCATCTTGCGTAACATTGTGTGAGCGTGGACGACGACGAAATGAAGTTCCAACACGGAAGAAGCGAAGAAGATGAGCTTTTAGTCGGAGGCGAAGAAGAAGAATGAAAACGACTACATGTTGTAGCATTGTAACGTTGTAACGTTGGTTGGCAAAAACTTTTGTCGTCCTTCGAGGGAGGAGGAGGAGGCGAGAGAGAGCTCAAAGCAAGTGAAAATGACTTTACTGAAATGAGTTGATCATAATGAGTCGATCTAAATGCATGGAGATGGCTACGTAAGTATGTAGTACGTATTTATATATACGTGTATAGAACATGGTCATCACCGTACTAAAACCATACGGGGTGTCGTTGCCACAAATTTGAAACAGTATAATACAGGGGGACAGAGAAATTGTAACATTTCCAAGAACAGTGTCCACTCCACTACGCTGTAGATATTGCTCAATCACATAATTTCCTACTTACTTAAATATATACGATACGATAAGGAGTTCCTCGGAGTGAGATTGCCTTGATTTGATTTTAGGAGGACACAGACACAAAATGCTAATGCTTTTTTAGCAGCGACATTTCATTTTCATCAAAGAATTAAATCTTTTCGAGTCTCTCTCTTCCCCAGGGGCAGACTGACTGACTTGGTATTGTTACATTTTTGTGATCATCAGTCTTTCCAAGAACTAATATACTCTCAGCGGCTATACATATGTATAAGTACTTATTTAGTCTGCTTTGACGGAGAAGGCCATCATAACGGAATCATTGCGTGGTTGGTTAGCTTGCCTGGCGTTGACTGATGTAACCGAAGAGCGAGTAATAAAACGACGACGACGACGACGACGAGGTTTGAATTATGCTCTGGCTCTGTCCCCAGGGTCCTGCTCGCCCCGAGGGTGCCCAGATTGGAATCGATTTGTAATATATGCGAAAATAATGTAGTTTCTCATCTTTCCCTCCTCTCGCGAGGAAGCTATTTAGACCCATATACATAGTCTCTTGATGATGTAAAACATTGTGTTATTGCCCTCATCACCCCGTCATCATCATCGTCACAAAACACAGAAATATGTAACTAAACTGTGTAGGTTTTATGTACACATTAAATAAGACTAGACACACTCAATTCGTACGAGATGCGAGAAAGAGAGAGTGAGCATTATGTATTTATATTTAGAATAACACAGATTTTAAAGATATCGACACTATTTTGGAATTCCGTCCATTAAGTTTCGACCAGTGGAGCAAGGACCTGTCAGCATGCAGCGAGTCAATGGGTGGCGTTACAAATATTTGACAAAAAGTTACAAATTGTTCCATTGATGATATTCTGAGATGACAGCGAGAGATTCATCCTCGCATCCTCCGTGGGCATTGAAGAGTGATGGATAATAATAATTTCTCCTCCTCTGTTGTGGATCGTGTCAACATTTATAAATGTTCCGACCGATGGTATCATATGCAATATGCATATGAATGCCCGTATGTTGTACATATCACCTTTCATGCAACCCTGCCACATGTACATAAACTACTGAGGAGATGGATGGATGGATGGATGGAAAAATGGGGAGTGAGGAATTAGTCTCATTTGAGCGAACACAAATCCTTCATTCATAAAAGTTGTGTGAAACCAATCCTCCGTTACCGAATAATTATTATTACACATTATACTCTCAACTTGGAGAGCTAAACCAAACCAAAATCTAATCCACTACCTACCACCAGCAGCAGGGAGAAATAGCAACCCTATCGACTACCATATTTATTTGTGTGTCCAATGTCATGTCGCATATATAGTTTTTGTCATACGCATTGTTGGCTACACACAACAACCAACCTCACAAAGCAGACGAGCTTAGCTTAGCGTTCGTTCGCACATAATCTGAAATCTTTGTGAAAATGAAAAGATGGTGGGAGGTGGGTGAGCGAGGCTTGAATGAATGAGTCCAATCTGGCCCTCCATTCTTTCACCGGTCACTATTTACGACACATTTTGGGCTTGCGGGGTATGCATGTACATATCATCAATAATATTGTGTAGGGGAGTAGTTATAGTATAAAAATGGTGAAATTTTCGCGAAAAGCTGGGATGAATTGAGAGAGGTGAGACTTGAGTGAATGGGATTAAGAGTGGCTCATAAACATACAAGGAATCATCTGCTGGTGGTCCGATGATGCTATTACGCCCCAACACCCAAATACAATGTCGACATCCAAGGACTCACATTTTTCACCTTAGTCGTCCCATCACACCACATTCATTCACTGCGATATCCACACGGTCGAAAAGAATAAGGAACAACGCGGAATAACCACAACATTGAAGAGCAGCGGCGTCGTCGGGTTGTGTTCGCTGAGCCGATACGTGATCGGATTTCCTTCCCGTTGGAAAATAAACTCTTCAATTGAATGCCAATCCGGGAGATGTTTTATCGAGGTGTTCTTTGCATACCAAGTCGCAGGGGTCAAAGCATGTCAATCACTCACTCTCTCCTTATACAGTTTGGAGGTAGTCATGCTTAAATGTTTCAGATGTGATGCCTTCGCTGCTGCTCCTCTTGTCATGGGATCAAAATAACTAAGCAGCATTTCTCATTGTGTACTTTGTGGTGGTGCTGGTGTGTGGATTGTTTGCGGATCAAATACAATATGTCAGTGTTCCAAACGTCGGAATGATGGGATGTCTCGTCTTGCTAAAGAAACTCATCATTGACAAATGAGCTAGGAATAGATAAATGCATAAAGTGGTGTCACATAACTCTGGGCATGTGTTCCTTGCTAAATAGCGATGTATCACTGATTAGAAGAATGACTTTGATGATACCTTTATAGGTCCGAAGTGACCTCGAAAAACGATTGATTAATAAATACGTTCGTAAATACTGCTAATTGTAAATAGTATCAAGGAGTGAGTGGAATAGTTGTATTATTTTTACAGATATTAATATTCATTCCTCGCCATTGAAACTATCATGGACGGAGATTGCCATCACCATTTATGAGTGACGGTATGGGCAAAGATCAAATTCTCCAAATCTAGTTCACCCATGCAAGACACGCAAAAAAGTTTCTTGCATGCATTCCCAAATTAAGATTTATTTCGGAAAAAATTACACGCCATGAAAAAAGTGCGTGGGACCCGGTTTACAACACGATCTCTCCCTCAAGAGTCCTCTCTGGTATCGAAACTATGGGTCATTCTCACTCCTTCGGCAAAGCTAAAAACATGATATATGATCTAATCCTGTCCACCACAGACTTCTTACGAACCAACCAACACTTACTTTTTGTGACTGGGAGAGTATCACTACGCAGAGCAGCACTACTACCAAATATGAAGCCGATACGAGTTCAGCAGTTTTTTGCCCCCAGATCACGGCTCATTTGTACTTTTCAAATTTTCCAAACCACTTTCTCGGGAATCAACAATTCTCTCAAGAAATGTTTATGTATCGTTCTCAGCTTGGGATGAATCCGGCTTAGAATGAATTTCAAATCGTTCACGTACTTGCATGGGCACAGTTATAAAATTTCGACACGCAGGGATTTCGAAGAGGGGGAGTGGAAAAGCTGGGAAAATTCAGTTGCAGATAAAAAAAGAGAGTTTGAGAAGCATGAGGACGACACTTGGTCGGGGATTGCAAATAAATAGGAGAGCAAGTCGGATACAAGGGATTTGGGTGACGTTGCTTTGCATTGCAGTGCATTGTGTGTGTGTATGGGAAGAAGAAGTTGGATGGGTTGACAGGTCGTTGGATAGGTCAGAGAGCGATAAGAGGAAGGGTTGGCAGCCAGCAGCAGCAGCAGAAACGCCGTTCATCCTCTTCATGCGTCCCCACGGCCAACAATTGCTGCTGCCTACATGTGAACCAAGAAGAAGAAGAAGGGACATTTTTATCTGTTCTGTTCAGATTTCTTATCACCCTCCGCCCATTGTTGTTCCCCAGTGTCACGCACAACGCGGGGCTTATCTGTCGACTTTGGAAACCCGGCAAAAGATCGCCCCTCACCAGCAGCACCCAACAACCACCCTTCATTCATTCATTCTGCACCGAAAGATCCCCGCTCGTGATATAGTCCCTGCAAACACACTGGTGACGCGTTATGTGTGTTGACTTGGGCCAGATCCAGACCAGAGTTCCATGAAATGTTATTAAAAGACTTTGCCTACACTTCAGTGAGGGTCACACTCGTGGGGAGATCGACACACAGAGAAAATAGTGGCTGAATTTTTGGACCGAATTTATTTAAAGCATTCAATTCGAAGGAAGGAAGGAAGAAAGAAGGTCTTCGACAACAGAGCATGCCAATAATATAATGTAATAATAATGGTATAACATCATCCCTGGTGGGAGGAGGGGTCACGTAAGGGGGTGAAATATATACATGTTTCTCCATTCAGGCTTTCACTTTATGAACTTATCTCCCACTCGTGCATATTCGATACCCCATTTCCTTCCAGGTTTGATAAGAACGTCGTTCGCAATAACCAATGGGTTACGGTGGCAGATAGACCTTTTTCTTCCTGATAAGATCACCAGAGAGAGAGAGAGATGTTCTTTTATAACTTTCTCTATTCATGTCTCCTCCGACTGAGCCGACACCACCCCAGTTTTCCCTTATGTAGATCTATCTATGCCTTTCATAGTCGGGGTCTCATATTCATCCAAATCATGGCATGCTTGAGGAGAGATAAATAAAAAGTACTTTGTAGTACCAACTTTCATGTAGTGTTCAACCAGTTAAAAACAAAGACAGTAATTGCAATGTATCTTTTTTTCTTCAAAACGTGAAACCAAAACCAATACTCGTTTCTGTGAGGAGCTAAACACTTAAGTGTTTGTGGTTCACGTGTGGAATGAGGTTTTGACAGATAAGTAATAATTTTTGCGGGTTGGTTGGTTTGGAATTTTTTCAGGTAGAGAAGACCTCATCCACTCGAGAAGAAGCGAGAACAGAAGCGAGACTTAATAATAATAATGGTCAAGTGGGAGAGAACGGGGCAGGTTTCGAAAGGGTGTTTT